TATTAAAAAGAATGAATTTACCTGTCTCCATGACAAAGCTCCTGCCTATTTCTTCCATCAAATGACACCCAGGCAGTGTTTCTACTTCCTGGAGATACTGTTATCTAAGAACAAATGAAAAATAATATAATCTTTAAAGAGTACAAAGTTATCCATGCAACAAAATGAAAAGTATACACATGGTGTCCCATGTAGAACTGCAGCGATCGATTAGTCGAAAAGTTAACGTTAAACAGTTTGAAAACTGAGGAATTCGGATAAATATTTCAAATGGCGGCACTTCCGATTATACCGAACGTTGCTGATCTTGAATGGAACACCCTGATATAATCCGATTTTAAGATCTTCGCAAGATTCTAGATACATCTATTATGTACATGTATGACATCCTGTACCTAACTCTAACCGTTTTGAGAAATATCACATTTTGTATAAAAGATGCAGCTGAAAGCTTATTAATTTTCGTATTTTTGTCTTTGTCGAACGATTTGTACTGGTTACTAGAAGAGGGTTACTCTAGCAGACTTTCTTCGAAGTTTTAATTAGTAGTAGTAGTAGAAAGATTTATTTAGCACATTTGGCTACATAAACAGAATAATTGTAAACAATTTAGAATTAGTAAATTCAAGCCATATGATGTATGATGTAAATGCTGGGCAAGCTATAATTGTAGATTTGACAAGCGACTCCTCAATTTTACTTTAACTTTGTCAACGTTTGCTGGTCTTTTATCTCTGTGTATAATTTATTATATTCAATCAACCCTTGATGGAATACAGATTTGTAGCATATGTTATACTTTTTGGTCATTAAATGGAAGTCATCTTTATTTTTGGTATTACGTAAATGATAGTGGGCATTTGATGTTGTTAAATTAGTTAGACTTGATGGAAATATCTTATTTTTTACTTTATAAATGAATATCATTACAAGATATTTGATAAAATGTTTTACATTGAGCCATTTTAATTTGCGAAGCATTTGTCTAATTGGAGTATATTTATCTCTATTCAGTATTATCTCATGCGCTTGTTTTATAAAATTTGCGGTCTTTCAAAAGTGGAATTATTTGCTAAATATAGAATAGTCGAACAGTACAAGAAATTTGGAAGAATGATGGTATTATAGATAATTTTTCTGCTATATGAACTGAGACATCCAGAAACTCTCGATAAATATCCACTTTACTACTAATCTTAATAACTTTTTCGTAATGAATATCAAAAATTAATCGAGAGTCAACAAAAACCCCCAGGTATTCAAAATTTTCTACGAATTCAATATCTTCACCATCAATATCCAGTTGAACATTTGTACATTGTTTTTTTCCGATTATCATAGCTTGTATTTAATTTGAATCTGTTAGATGCTAACCATTTTGAGTCAAGTTTCAAGTCTTTATTTATATAGAGATACCAGTCTGAATATTTTTAGTACGTATAAAAATGTATATTATGTTTCTCTATTTTTGCTCGCACATGTTACATTAAGTTATAATAAAACATAAGTTTTAGTTTAATAGTTTAATAAAATCTTTAAAAAAATAAATTGTTTCTCAACTTTTGCTCGGTACTGTATATGTCCACCTTTCACAATGGAAAAAAATCCTGAACACTAACCTTAAGTTCCACTCCACTGGTACGACGATCGGCCTGAAACTCAACGAATGCGGACAAATGGGAGTGACCATGATTGCGGGAACGCTTGGATGAATCATTGAAGCACCTGCAGCAACAGCGTATGCAGTACTTCCGGTCGGGGTACTGACGATCAACCCATCCCCTTGAACCGACGTTATAACTTGCCGTCCAGGAACAGATCTGCAAACAGATTCCAACAGATTACATCTGACATCATCAAAATGGAAACTGCTGTATCTCGCATACTTTTAGTCAAATCTCAGAATCCGTTAGAATAACTCAAATTGTATAGCAAGCAGCCGTTTTATTTATGTTGACTTTCGAACTATCCTAGAAGTAATCGACATACCTCGTCAAAGTACTTTGCTTCATTCAAACACTAACCTACGTCCGCGTGGAAGTAATGTAAAGTATAATAATATAAGTTTATTCACTATAAAGTATTACAGTTTATTGAAAATAAATATGCATATATAAACATTTTTCATAACAACTTTTGGTTAAAACAGTTAAATACAGCTAATACATAAATTTAAACACAACAACCATAAGGTAACTGTAATATATTAAATACTAATTTTTTCATTTTAGTGAGTTTTTCTATTTCATGTCGATATTATTCAACAAGAATCTTTTATTTCAAAGTTAAATCTATGTTTATTTGAAATGGATTTTAATGGCTTGGTATATTATAAAATCTAGTGGAGAGGTAATGAAGCATCTTTGACCAAGATTTTTTGTTGTAAATGGTGTTCTTTTAATATCCTCGATTTACTTCTTGTTTCATATTTGTGGTCGAAGAAATGAGGTTTGTTTTATTTTTGAATAAATTGATCAATAAATTGTAAAAAAGTTGTCTAAGATCGAGTAGTGTCACTTCGGAATATAACATATCAGCGGATATAGCATGGGCCGGTAGAAATAATTTTCAAAAATTGTTTTCGGATTATTTCCTAGCTTCTTAATTTGGCTGGTGAGAGCACCACCCCAAGCTAGTATGGCATAATTTAAGCAACATCCAATAAGTCCATGATATAATATCTCATTGTTTCCATGGCCTAGATAATTTAGTGAGTAGGTACTTGAATTTAAATAATAATCGTCTTAATTAGTTACTATATGATCAACATGGAATTCCATTTTAATTAAATGAGGATCCAAATGAACACCTAAATATTTTTTTTTATCAGCTGAAGTATTAATGTACTTGCATTGTCACATTTAATTTGTAAAGAGGTAAATGACGCAATTTATTTTTAAGGTTGTGAACGGCATATACTTGGTTTTCTGAAAATTGATTGTTAGATATTTGTGTCTAAACCAATCTGAAATTAAATAATGTCATTTTCAACAGTCTCTTAAGATTATCCCAGGAATTGTTAGTAGAAAAAAGTATCGCGTGTCATCTGCAAAAACATATTATTGTGCCTTGCGACTTTAAGCTAGTAGGCTATTGATATACACATAAAAAATAACGGGCCTAAAACTGTCCCTTGTTCCCATAAGTCACAGTTTTTCTGAACTTATGGAATCATTTATTTGAACATAGTGCTTTCTGTAAAACAGTTAACTTCTCATAAGGTTTTGAGCGTTTCCTCTAATTCCTGCATCGTATAAAGTTTCTAATAGTAGCGAGTGATCCACCGTATCGAACGCTTTTGCTAGGTCTAGGAATATGCATAATGTATATTTACTTTGTTCTAGTAACTTATGAATTTTGAAGTCACAAGGAAACGCGTCTCGAGTAGATTTATTTTTTTTGATATCCAGATTGATTTTCATGTATAAGCTTATTTTTGTTGAAAAAACTATGAGCCTAGCCTTTATGATTTTTTCAACTATCTTTGCCAAATTAGATTTAATGTTATTGGTCTATAGTTGCTTGTATCAGATATGTCGCCAGATTTATGAATCCGTGTTATTATTCCTATATATGTAAGGGTCTGGGAAAAAGATTCAATTATCAAATTTGTTAAAAATGTTAGTGGTTTTCTAATTTCAGGTGCAATTTTTTGAGTACCTCTGATCATATGCCATCTAAACCTGGCCTTTCTTTATTTTTTAGGCTGTAAATGGTATATTCTGTTTCTTTTCTGTAACTGGTTCGAGAAAGACTCGAGAAATATGATTACTTTAGATGGAATATCGGTGTAGGTTTATTTATTTTAGTTGCCATTTTCTCTCCCACTTCAACAAATAGTTATTGAATACGTTAGCAATATCTGTATCTGCAATTATACAGTATTATTAGTTTTGATTTGTTCAATACTTGTTATTGGTTTGTTTGAGTTACAGATTTGGTTTATGGTATTCCATACCGTTTTACTTTTTTTAAGTATCTCCGTATATATTTTAGTTTTGTAGCAGTTATTAAATTGGAAAGTTTATTTTGGTGGTCATTCGTTTTGCATTAGTGTGAAGAAGATGGTTTCGGAGAAAGATATGCAATATTCAAGGTAATGCAATAACTTACTTCGGCAACGGATATTTTGTTCATTTTAATGCATAATTAGTATCAAAGTGTAATCAGAATAATAACCAATAATACGCGAAGTATACCACAGCCTGTATGGCATATCCTATATATCCTAACCCAATAACTATTTAATCACCATATGAAGTAAAACAAAGCATCAACAAATCTAGACGATCAGCAAAAACTAAATATTTGGTAGTAGTCAAAAAGATCTAGACAAAATGGAAAGTGAAAATGGAAACTGAATGTTCAAAATTGTAAACAGTTTAAGTACTTATTTATTTGGAGTGGTGGCTGATTCAAAATTGAGTTTTAACTGTATTTCGAGAAACTTCAAGGTAGAAACCTTAAGGAAGGTGTGGGTGCACACAGTTTTGACATTCTAAAAAGTTGATTTACAACATTATAACCAAAATGTCTAAATGAACTTATAAACTTAAATTGTATGTATCATCCATAGGAAATTAGAGGGAAATTTAATTTTGATTTGAATTGTAATAATTACCTCAAAATTAAAACCGTTTTCCATAAAGCTATACAAGAATTTAACCATTTGCCTAATACACTTCCTTTTTAAATATGTATGAAATGGTAAAAAAGGTTTTTGCTCTCTAGCTTACAAATTCTGTTTCTAAGGTTTATTCATTTGGTTATTCACCACGACTAATTTAGTCACTGTTCGTACATATACCAGAAAAATATTCCATTAATGACCAATGCCATTAATACCTATTGAATAGTCATCAAAAACTCATCAGCTCCAATAAGGCTGTTAAGAAAAATAGGTACTATGTACTATTCCATAGTAATTACGTTGTATTTGAATATTTTCCTTCAACAACCAAAAAAACATTAATATCAGTACAGTATCAGTAGTTATTGTATTGTCGACACAACGCAGTCTTTTCAAGTTTCCATCGTTTTTAAGAAGTTGATGGTAAAAGCAAAAATGATCATAGCTTTATAGGCAGTTGAAAAGAGCAGATGAAAAATTTGGTGTCGAGAGGATGAGAACCCCAACTGTGTAATCCATACCATTTAAGAATTTACACCATGTTATATTAATAAAATAAAAGAGGAAAACCCTATACCAAAAGAGGTAAAGACAGAATGGACGACACCCTGTTAGGAAAGTCAAGAACTGAAGGTACCTAGTACAAATAGTAGGCGATTTGTTTCAGCAGTTGGGGCGAAATTCAGTATAAGGTTGTTAGTTGTAGTATTCCTCAACTTGAATATGATTTTGAGTATTCAATGATAGACATAAATGTCCATATTCTTTTGACGATTGGCTGTTTTTATAAGTCCTCAAGTTCTGATCCTGATTTATTCATTTACAACTTTGATAAAAAATTGCAAAGGCATTTGAAGAGCAATAGGATGGTTGTTAGTGGGGACTTCAACATGAACTTTGACCCACTAAATATGCATTCATCAGCAAGGAAACTTGTTGCAATTATGAAATCGTTCAATATGGAACAACATTTTCTTCAATATACCGGCCACCTTCTCCAAAATAGTTACTGTAACTTATCAGACCATAATATGCAGATTATAGGTTATACTTTAGGAAGAGGTAGCCCTCAAACACAGAGTTTTATCACTGCAAACGCCTTTTCGGTAAACCTCAAGATATTGAAATGTTCAAAATGCTTTTTCAAGAAACAGATTGGTATTTTTTGTCTGATGAAGGGATTGACTTTGATTCAAAGTTAATATGTTCCATGCAAATCTTTGATAGATGCTTTCCTGTAATGTTAGTCAAAAGTAAGCATTAAGCTCCTCAAAATTGTTAGAATAGCTGAATTGACGAAGCAAGTTTTCAAGATTTTGCTATAAAAATAAATAATGATACCAAGTTGACTGCACGCAATAAACTACTGATGAAAGAAAATTATTGGAAACTAAACGAGATTACTATGATAATTAAAATTGCTAAATCTAGTAATAAGAGTAAGACTGCTTGGCAAATCATCAGTGCAAATTCAAAAATACAAAAGACAAGTCCCTGGGATTATTTCTGATAAAGATGGAAATGTTTTCTCTACATCATCCAAGGAAGCAGCTGACGCGTTTAATAATTTCTTTAGAAATTCTGTATCTGCACTAACTAAATCTATGACTTTCAGCGGGCAGCATGTACCAACTCCCATCAACCCCAATTCCATGTTTTTGAGCCCAGTCACTGAAGAAGAAGCTGTTGAGCTGTTAAGACTTGCCGCAAAAAAGAAATCAGTAGGTTTTGATGAAGTACCTTGCTCATTCCTATTAAATATGATAGACTTAGTTGTAAAACCTCTGAGAGCACTGATAAATCTGTCTTTTGCAGAAGGCATATTTCCTTATAAGCTGAAAGAATCACTCCATAAAAAAGATGATATCACCTACATGGCTAATTCACTGATCAACAGCCAAAAATATCCTAAATAAAATCAACAAAATATTATATACTGTAATTCACAAGAATGCACGTGCTACATTTTTATATTCGGCAAGGAAAGATGATGTAATCGGCATGATTGTGTTACGTTATACATACGTGTACATTATATTGTTTTATATTAGCCATTTTTTCCTCAGTTGGCTGACAGCGTTCATGCAAGATATCTCGAAAGTGTGTAAACAATCCAGATCAGTTTTGTTACGTGTGTGGTGATGTGACTTTTGCGTCTCAGAGACGGTCTATTACTCCACTAATAACAAAGGCATATCAGCTTTATTTCGGTTGTAAACTAGGTGATCAAGACAAACAGTGGGCACCACACATCTGCTGTAATACATGTGCTTCAAGTCTGAGGAGCTGGTTAAATGGCAAAAAACGTCTATGCGCTTTGCTGTCCCAATGGTTTGGAGAGAGCCTACAAATCATATTAATGATTGTTGCTTTTGCATGGTACCTTGTGTTGGACAAGCCACAGGTATGTCCAAGAAAAAAAAAATCGGTTATTAACTACCCAAACATACCATCTGTGATGAGACCTGTGCCTCACAGTGACGAAAATCCTATTCCAAAACCCCCAGAATCCTACACTTGCGAATCAGAAGACGAATCAGATCATGGCGATCGAGTGATTCGTCAGGAAGAAGATATGCCATCAACGTCAAGAGATCCTGATTTTATACCGAGCACGTCATGCCACCAACCGCACAAAATAACACAGTCAGAATTAAATGATCTTGTAAGAGATTTAGAACTTCCAAAATGTAAGGCAGAGTTACTTGGATCAAGACTGTAGCAGTGGAACTTGTTAGAAGACGATGTTTCGGTATGTGTTTTACGTAAACGCCACAAAGACTTGGAACCGTTTTTCAATATGGAGAATAACTTGGTTTTCTGCAGTAACATTAACGGCTTACTGGCGGCTTTAAATATAAACTATAACCCAGAAGAATGGAGATTGTTTATAGACAGTTCAACATTGAGTTTAAAGGCAGCCTTATTGCATATTGGAAATATTTTACCATCTCTTCCTGTAGGGTATGCAGTTCACATGAAAGAATCATATGACAATATGAAGTACCTATTGACATGCATAAAATACGATGAGCACCAATGGCATATTTGTGGCGATTTGAAAGTTGTTGCACTTTTACTTGGGCTGCAGCTAGGCTACAGAAAGTTTTGCTGTTTTTTGTGTGAATGGGACAGTCGGGCAAAGGCACTTCATTACACCAGACAAAACTGGCCTGTTCGTCAATTCCTAGAGCCAGGTCAAAAAAATGTACAGCATATGCCATTAGTAGATTCGAAAAAAAATTTATTACCACCACTGCATATCAAGTTGGACCTAATGAAAAACTTTGTCAAGGCATTAGATAGAGATGGGTCAGCTTTTCAATACCTGCGTCAGAAATTTTCAAGACTAAGTGAGGCAAAGGTTAAAGAAGGTATTTTTGTTGGGCCACAGATTCGAAATATTTTGAAAGATAGACAGTTTGAAAACACTTTAACAGGTATTGAAAAAACTGCTTGGAATGATTTCCGTCTGGTGGTCACTAATTTCTTGGGAAATAGAAAAGCTGACAACTATAAAACCCTTGTCAAAAATATGCTGCCATCGTATCAAAAGATGGGCTGTAATACGTCTCTTAAGATACATTTCCTACGCTCACACCTGGACTTTTTTCCTGACAATTGCGGAGCCGTAAGTGATGAGCACGGCGAACGTTTTCATCAGAATATTTCAACAATGGAAAAAGGTACCAGGGAAAGCGGAATCCTTCCATGCTTGCAGACTACTGTTGGACTCTTGGTAGAGATGCTCCAGAAACGATGCATAAAAGAACAGCAAAAAGACAGCGCATATAGTGATTCTTATAAGTATATGAATCTTGTTACTTTTTTTAATATATCCTTAAAAATAAAAAGTTTTTTTTCTAAACCGCAACTAATTTTTTTATTTCATTGTCATTTTTGGATTCAGCACCCCAAAATTAACAAAGAAGTGCACTTTACCCACAAGATACAATTAAAAAACTAAAATTTGTTGTCCAGTGGTAGGGGCATTTCATTGTTATCGGTATTCGCAAAATTCTTTGAAAATGCTTATTATAATAAACTGATAAAATTTGCTGACAAATTCAATATCACCAACAGGCGCCAATTTCGATTTCAGAAAAACCTATCTACAAAACATGCAGTATTGTCTTTGAGTGACTTTGTCTTAACCTGCCTTGAAAAGAAATAAAAAACGTGTTGTCTCTTCATAGATTTAATCCGTGCTTTCGACACTGTCAACCATGCCCTTTTATTCGAAAAGCTTAATAACTACGGAGTCAGAGGAACCGCTTTAAATTGGATAGAAAGTTATCTATCCGACAGGGAACAAAGAGTTGACATCAATAATGGAAGACGCAAATTATCTTCTAGCACCGAGGTTTTTTTAACTGGTGTTCCGCAAGGAAGCATGCTAGGGCCTCTATTGTTTTTATTGTTTGTCAACGATGCGCCCATTTTAATGGAACAGCATTTTGTTACATTATTTGCTGACGATACCACGGTGGAAGTTAAAACTAAAGATCCAACTCAGCTTAGTACCGAGTTGTCAGTTGCATCATACCACATGGAGAGGTACTCTGTAAGGAATGCCCTAGTAATTAATGAACAGAAGACGCAACTGATGCAGTTTTGTTTGCGAGAGACAGATTGTGATATTGACCTGAAAATTGACGGAACCAGGGTGAACGAGGTTCAGGTCACTAAACTCCCTGGTGTTATGATCGATTCAAGGCTTACTTGGAGGGATCATATTGACTGTTTCGTTGACAAAATATCAAAGCATTGCTTTGGTTTATGAAGACTAAGGCAGTTTGTAAGTTCTGAAGTGCTTATGATGTACTATTTTGCGCACGTACAGATGCTCAAAAACCAACCAAATAATGTTGGATGATGTCCGCGAAAGCCTTTCGCATTTCATAGTATAAATAGTTTTTTTTTCTTTAGTTTCTATCGAGCAATTTCTGAACTAACAATGTATTTCCATGGTCATTCGTGCAAGTCAACGCACGTCACTAAAAGCAATGAACTGAAAAATCACGTATGTAGTTGGACTATGAACAAGATGAATGAAGCAAGTTATTGGTAGAAACATCGATCATTAGCCACGTTTTCTGGAGCAGACGAATTATATGGAAACATTCATTATCATTTTTATTACATTGCTGAAATAGCAAAGCATCCTACGTTAATATGCATGCGTATGTTTTTATACCACTTGTTGGTATGACACGTTATTAAAAGATCTGGACATTTGCATTGAATGATATCGATTGAAGCCACGACCGGAAAATTATCCATATGCATATGATTTTTATTACTAGACATACAAACATCACAGTTAGGTGAAGGACCTTCTGTCACATCACCTTCCGTCTTTGCTGGTGAAGAGTTCAAACTAATTGACGGCTAATTAAAGGAACTACATTGTTTTCCACGATATATGAATAGGTCAAAACAAAAAAATAACAAGAGGCTTAGTGGCATCCAAAATTCATATCTTCTTGCAACCCTTTGTGTGAGTGCTATGCACAAATTTGTTAAAAAAGTTTTTTCCTGCTAATGATCATCACTATAGTTCAAGTCAGCTGAGAATTAAATAGATGTTGATCTATATTTGGTATAAATACAGGGTGACTTCGAAGTTGAGTCATTTATTTTAACAGTGAGTAGATCTGATCAAAAGAAATGTTTTTTTCCTTTACCATTTTTCTGGTAAAATTAAAGTAACAAAGTTATAGCCCTTTGGAAGTTTGAGTACCGCCCTGTTCAATAATACTCGTAATATCATGTGTTCGTGTTTGGCAACAACGGATATAATCCGCCTCGGTTCATCGCATCGGAAACAAAAAGCGAAAGAATTTGGAACGATGTTTTACAATTATTTTCTTCAGTTCAGTTATACATACAGTTAGTGTCAGTCGGTAAGGCGTGTGAATAGTGTCTGTTGCGTGGCTCAAACGAAATAAAAAATGGCACATGTTTATGCGGATCGGTTTCCCAATCGAGTGCAACCAACCCCTCGTGCCTTTGTTAATGTAGTACAACGGGCTCGTGAATCAAGTGACTTAAGACCTCACAGGGGACCTCACGATCAAATACAGGTCCGCACTGAAATACTTGTCGGGAGGATACTTTATAAAACAAGGTAAAAATTTTTTTTTTATTTTTTTTATTTTTACACACATATTTTGGTTTATCTTCCTTCTACAATCATTATCTGAAAATTAATGACTCAACTTCAAGTCACCCTGTATATAAATAATAATAATAACCTTAAAAATTGACGGTCAACAACACAAAAAATGTATGAAGTATCGAATTTCGCAGTTTTTTTTATTTTATTTCACAAATGTTAAAGTAAACAGCCATGCTTCAAAACTTTTGCACCTAGTGTACCTGGATGACGATCCTTTTAAAAGCTTTAAAAGATGAAGTGGTATTGATATTTTACTGAATTTTGTGAAATACAAAAATTATAAATCAATGCATACCAACCTATATTTGATAAATAAGGTGAAGGACCCCTATCAACAACCACTTCGTTCAAAACCAGAAGATTCGTTGGCACTTTGGGTACATTTGATTTATCACTAGAAGTATTCTGGTCCATTTTCTTCATAACAATACAACGCAAACGGCTCCGTAACGTCAACGCTGCATGTCCTGCAAAGAAAAAATCGTGTTAATAGATATTTATGTAGCAAGTGCATAAGGTGAGCATTTTATCTATGACCGATTAAACGTTGGGTGAAAAATTCAAAGTAGTCTCTAGGTGTACTTAAAAATAAATAAATTGACCGTATTGCCGGCAGTGCAGCCATTGACTAGCAAGAAATAAACATAAATATTGCGAATAGCTCACGTAGTCGATAACGATAGGTCCATTTGAAGCTAGCTGGTGCAAGCTACTTTGCGACCTTGATAAGGACTCTTTGCCGCCCTGTTGTAGATAGAAACAATAAAAACCCTTCAAATGAATACTTTTTCGATATGCTGTAAACAAATTAAAACGAACATATCTATTACGCATGTACAGAATACGGGAATAGCATCATCACCACAACCTTGCACTTTTAGATACACTTGAATGTCATAAATAATATCAGTGATCATGACATTATTCTATAGAATGAATTGATTCATATTTCAACTAGCTGTAATATGTTTGTAATTTTGTAGTTAATATTGTTTTTTACAGATGCAAATTCAAAGCTGTTTTTTATTCGTTTAAGGAATAAAAATAATTTGTTATCATGAGGCGTTTGGATTTCAGATAAGAGATATCCAGTTTTTACAGGTTACACAAAATCGCTTACTCAATAACATACATCCAGTATTAATCGACTCATGTATTTTTCATTATTAGATGTATAGTCAGTAAAAATCAAAAGTTCGCCAATTGTATAGAATAGAAAGGAATTATTTAGCTTTAAGCTACTTCAAAGAGTAATAAATATTATTATACAAAAATATGTTAAATTTACAAAGAGGTCGTCACGTCAAACCAAAATGGTCTCTCCGAAGTATCTTGTTGAAAATTTTAGCATTACTAGATGTTTTTACATTAACAGGCAGATTGTTGTACATTTTTAGACCTTCAACAAACATTGACTTTTCTGAACCGTTAAATCTAAATCTTTGTATATGGAAATTTTCTTTAGATCTAATGTCGTAAACCTTGAATTTGACATATTTTTTTATAAACTGTTCAAGATAAGGTGGAGCCTGATTATTGATAATTTTATATAAAAGAATTAAATGTGCCTCTTGAATCATTTGGTGTATGTTTAAAGAATTAAATGCCTTTAGCATATCCTGTATATGGGTATACCTGCTACAATTTAACAAAATCCGCATACATTTATTTAATAGAATTTGAACCTTTGCATTTACTCATCTGTGCATGTAATCAAAAGTGATGCACAATAAGTAAAATGAGGAAAAATTATTGTATTGTAGACTACCCTTCTGCACCAGGGACTTAGATTCTCACAAATTCTACGAAAATACACGATCTTTTTGCAAATTTTGAAGGAAATCCTCCAGATGGTATTTATAATAATTTGACGTAAATGCTTTTGCTTTTTGAGTATAAGCATATCCTTCAAAGCAGTATCATACGTAAAAGGATATTCATAATGTTCACCTTATACTTGGCATAGGAAGTATATCGTTCAAAAATTCTGAGTGTGGTCAGTAGTAGACTCAACTTCGTATCGAAATGTGGTAAAACGATGATGGCGGAAATTGTGGATGTTAGGGATGTTAAAACGTACAAACCTCGTTTACCTTCACTTGGTCGTGACTTCAAAAAATTATATCGGTTCGACGAAGCAAATGTACAAAGACTTGCGGACAGATTTTTAGTTAGAATGAGGAAACTCGAGGAGGAGCACTTTCATGTATTCATAAAATGAAGATATGTCTATGCTATCTCGGTGACCCTGGATATCAACAAGGTATTGGTCAGGAAATTGGTGTTAGTCAAGCAATGGTATGTCGGATTATGGATAGAGTTGTGAACAGCATAGTTACACAGTCGAACGAATGGATCAAGTTTCCAACTACCAACCATGAACTGATGGAGGTCAAGAGGATATGGTACTGCCTTGAGGTAGTCCATGATCAACAGAAACATTACTTGATATTTTACTTTCAATTTTTACCACTTGTAACCGCTCAGATAAATAATCACCCACCCACAAGAGGGCTGTTCCCTTGATTCCATACATTTCACATTTTCTCAACAACAATTTCCTGTCAATAGTTTCAAACGCTATTTTTAGGTTAACAGACACACACCCAATCACTTTACCATGATCTACATCTTTTTTCCACTTTGTACATACAAATTGGCATGCAGTTTCACAAGAATTATTTCTTCTGAACCCGGATTACCTCTCAAAAAGAACATCGTTCACACGTAGATGCTCACTCAGCTCTTCATGCACTGTTATTGCTTCCTTATTACTTTAAGGTATGGTGCTTACTATATCAGTAACACTCTTGATAAAATAATTTTTCAATTTACTCTCTACAGTGTCACAGCCATTAATTTCTAAAGACGTATAATCAATGTGTACATGTTTGTTATTAACGAGATCTTTCAAGGTTCTCCACATTTGTTTGCTGTCTCCTTTGCATCTGTCAATCTTTTCTTCATAATACTGCTTTTGTTTTGATATTATAAGAGCAACAACTTTGTTTCGTTTTTCTTTATATTTTTCGAAGTCATCCCTCAGGTTGGTAAATTTGAAAATATAGTATTGTACATATCTTTCCCTTTGTGCTCTTTTGACCTCTCCGTCAATCCATGACTTGTAATTAGTACTTTGTTGTTCTAAAGGTGCAATTTCTTTAATACTTTTATTCACATTGTCAATAAAACAATTATATAAGGAATCGACATCTCGAGATCCATACTTCCAATTACATTCAATGAGCTTCATCTTGATTTTATCGATATTGTCACAATTGTAGTCTACCAAACACGGTTACAAATAGCTTTAAAATAAACTAATTTTAAAATTCTCTTTGGGATCTTGTGTTTTTTCAACAAATATTTCTCGTTACTGAGCTAGCTTGTTTCTCAAAACAGTTAAGCCAGTATTAGTGATATAAAAGTATAAGAAAGCCAAACCTCCCCAACATAAAAAATATCAAGCAATGTATCGCATTAAAAATAAATAATAGTTTCAAAAAACTAAAAAAAAAAAAACACGCTTTTATAGCTAACCTAACTAAACAGTAGAAAATAATTTTTAATTACAAAAAGTTTGTATTACAGTAGTAGATGGTCAAACATAAAATTATAATAAAATTTATGTTATTAATAGAATAATTCAGTTCAGTGTAAAATGCGTGGGATGCTTGATATATTAAATGTTAAGAGAGAAGAGTTATGAAAATATAGTAAAATGCACCCCACGCTTTTTACTCTGTCACTCCATTACTAATCCTTCCACGATTAAAAATGAGGCAAATACCAATTCTCAAATTTATCAAAATCGTTCCAATGGTTATCGAGGTTAGAAGCGCCAAATGACAAGGACATCAAGATAGACGAAAAAAAATAAAGACAACAGAAAATGGCTTATACGAGGGATGTCTTTTAAGTTTTGCATATAGAAACATAGTAGGCCGCGCGGATCGAACGTCAGTACTGAATCTTAACCTCACTCTTTAGTAAACTTAAATTCAACGTTTCACAACAATACGTGCAGTGTTCTCACTACAGTGAATTTTTTAGTGTCACCAAGTCATTAGAAAAATGGAACTCAACCGAGAACATTTATTACAACTTTCAGAGACAATTATCGCAACAAGAATGCCTTGCTGAGTTACTGTCTGTTTTCGGCAACGAAGCGCCACATCAGTCGACAATTTCCCGTTGGTATGGAGAATTCAAACGTGGACGGGTGAGTCGAGCGACGATCCCAGGGTGGGTGCACCAAAAACGGCAGTCACCCAGGAAAACGTCGATGCTGTGCGCAAACTCATCATTGAAGATAGACATGTGACATATCGCGAGATTGAGGCGTCTTTGAAGATATCAAAGACCTCAATTCAAAAAGTTTTACATGAAGAATTAGGAGTAAGAAAATTAGTTTCTCGTTGGATACCCCACCTGTTGACTGAAGAGCAGACAGCAGCCAGGGTTAATTGGTGTCAAAAAACGCTTGACCGTTTCAATTCCGGAAACTCAAAAAATGTGTATAGCATTGTTAGTGGTAATGAATCGTGGATTTATTGTTATGAACCAGAAAATAAACGACAGTCGGCTGTTTGGGTGTTCCAAGGTGAAGAAAGGCCAACAAAAGTCATCCGTTCTCGAAGTCTTTCGAAAAAGATGGTCGCGAGATTTGTGTCAAAAGCGGGTCATATTGCAGTTCCTCTTAGAACTGTTGCCGCGGATTGGTATACAACCATTTGTTTGCCAAAAGTCATCACCGAGCTTCGAAAAATAAACCCCGAAAGAAGAATCATCCTCCACCAAGACAATGCAAGCTCGCACACAGCCCAAAAAACAAGGCAGTATTTAATGAAAGAAAACGTGGAATTATTGGACCATCCTCCATATAGTCCCGATCTAAGTCCTAACGACTTCTTTAATTTCCCGAAAATTAAAAACAGACTGCGTGGTTAAAGGTTCCAGTCACCAGAAGAAGCAGTTGACGCATTCAAAAATGCCGCTTTGGATCTGCCAGCAAACGAGTGGGATAAGTGCTTCGAAAATTGGTTCGAGCGCACGCAGATGTGTATTAATCTTCGTGGAGAATATTTCGAAAAACAATAAAGTCATTTAAAACTACCTACCGTATTGTTTTACTTCCATATGCAAAACTTAAAAGACATCCCTCGTATACGTGTAACTTACCTTCAAGCACATTATTAACCTGCTCCTGGAAATTATCGAACCTAAACGGCGTGAGGAACCCCAACGATCCCAAATGGAATGCCATGACCGGTGGTACCGATTGCTGGAACAACTGACTGGCGTACAGCAAAGTGCCATCTCCACCTAGACAGATGATGAAGTCGATCTTGTCGGTGAGATCGTCTTTGCTGTCTCGGAATGTCATCAGCTTGTCTTTGATTTGAGCGAACGGCTTGAAGTGGTCCAGACTGTGGTCCTCCATCACCGCTCCTTCGATGAACACCACCATACGCTTTTCCTGAAACGGAAAAATTGATGTCAACGAGATCGACCCTATACTACTCCACATGCATTTCCGCGTTAAATTTTATTTCTGGGGAACATCAGTGCTTTTACCAAAGGTATGTCTGAGTATATTCACTCAACAACTGGCAAAGCTTGCCTTTCAAAGCTCAAACATCATGCGCCAAGGCATCATAAGTACTAGCTTGACGTAAAGAAGTACCCGACCTGACCTAGAGATGGCGATAGTTGTTTGAAAAATATCATTGTATCAGAAAGTATGCAACCTATAAAGCATATTTGTCAAGTTTGAAGAAGTTGTTTAGTATTTGGCAGTCAACGTTTTCAGTGAATTTGTGAAAATGGCGAAAATTGGTCATCGTTATGTGGTACAATAATTTATTTCAACGGCCTCAGCCCAACCAATATAAAAGCTGAACTGGATTCTACTCTGGGTAAGTCTGCTCCTTCGTTTACAAGAGTAAAATATTGGGTAGCAGAGTTTAAACGAGGCCGTATGAGCTGCCAAGACGAGCATCGCAGTGGTCGACCAAATGAGGTGGCGACTCCAGAAATGGTGAAGAAAATTCACAAAGCTGGACTGAATGATCGTCGACTGAAAGTGCGCGAGCTATCAAACATAGTAGCCATCTTAAAAGGTGCGGTTCATCGCATATTATCTGAAAATTTGGACATGAGAAAGCTGTGTGCAAGATGGGTGCCGCGATTGCTCACAATCGAGCGAAAACAGTGTCGTGAAGATGATTCAATTGAGTGTTTAGCGAAGTTTCACAGCAACAAAGCAGAATTTTTGTATCGTTTCATAACCATGGATGAAACATGGGTCCATCACTTCACACCAGAGACAAAAAAACAATCAAAACAATGGACTCAAAAGGGACAACCAGCTCCAAGAAGGCAGGACCGTTTCATCTGCATTCTGGGTTATGGCGTCGGTTTTTTTGAATGCGCGTAGGATAATTTTCATTGACTATCTTGAAAAAGGTAAAACTATCAACGGCGAGTATTGCAACGTTTGAGCGATGAAATCAAGCAAAAACAGCCGCATTTGGTAAAGAAGAAAGTGTTGTTTCATCACGACAATGCACCAGCTCACAAATCCGTTATTGCAATGGCCAAAATTAACGAATTAAAGTTTGAATTGCTACCTCATGCACCCTATTCACCTGATTTAGCCCCCTCGGATTATTTTCTGTTTCCAAACTTGGCAAATGGCTCAGTGGTCAAAGATTTTCCAACGATGAAGAAGTGACGTCGGCAGTTAATGGCTATTTTGAAGAGCAAGACAGTTCTTATTATAAAAAGGATATCGAACTTATTGAATATCGCTGGGAAAAGTATATAGAGCTCAAAGGAGATTATGTTGAAAAATAAATACATTTTTTTACAAAAATTTTGTGTTTTCTTCTTTGGGTCGGGTACTTCTCGTAAGCTCGATCACATATGAGAAAAATAAGCTTAATTATCTGACGTTGATAGGCAGTTAAACAAACATTATGTGATAATGACTACTACATAATTTTACCAGTCGCCAACCAGTTTTTTAGATACCAGACACGTAATTCGTTAACTTTGTAAGCATCTCTTCAGGGAAATATTAAAGATGTATCATATACAGTGCTTTTCTTTAATGTCCCCTCCCTTTTGATTTTTTGAACGGAACAATTAAAAAAATTAAAACTTGAGGTAATGAAATTGATGCGTAGATGCCATATTTTAGAGCAAAATTGACAGATCAAAATGTCAAGATGGCCGCTGGGCGCCAACTTGGAAAAAAATTATATGTAAACAGGGGTCTTGTGGCACATCATTTTGAAGCTCCTGACAAGTACTTTATAACCCTAGAATATAAAGTCAATACCTTTACCTATTAAAAAATGGTGGTACATTTAATAATTACTTGAACACAAATCCACTAACATGCATATCTCTACAAATATGTAATTGTAATTCCCCGCCGTATCCACAGCAACAGCGATAAAAACTTGTTTTGTTATTTCTTGTTGACAGTGACAAGAATATCAGTACGAAAACAAACATCATTGTACAGTTAAAATATTCTTATTAAGCTTTCGGTTTCAGTGCTAGATACTGTTTGAACTATTTTTAAAATGGTCAATTCTCGTCCATTGGAAGAAAAAATCGAAGCGATTTTGATTTATGGCGCGTCGCCTAACTTTCATGAGATCGAAAGGATTTTTAATGATCGTTTCCCGAATCGTCCTATCTGTATTTAAGGGAACTTGTATCTAAATTGACAGCTACTGGTAGTGTAAACAACAAAAAGCCCCCAGGTCATCCGACCACCCCGGAAAATAAGCAAGTTCAAATAATTGGTGAGATCATAGTAAATCCCCAACAGTCTACATCCTCCATCGCGAATGTGTGTGAGGATTGTCCTTCTACTATATGGAGACTTTTGAGAAAGAATAAGTATCACCCATACAAAATTCGAATGGTACATCAGCTAACTGAAGATTACCCTGATCGAAGAACATAATTCTGCGAGAGTATGACGGAAACCATTCCACGGCATCCTACCTAGTATATCCAAAATATTGGTTTTAGTGATGAATGAACATGTTTTCTCTACGGCAATGTGCATAGACAGAACTGTCGTTATCGGAGTGACACCAATCCTCACGTCTTCCGGGAAACTCATACTCAATATCCACAAAAAATTGACGTTTGGGCTGGGATATTGGGAAATCATCTATGCATCGAACAAACTTTAACCGGCGAACTGTATTTGGATATGCTGGAAAATACTATTGATCCCCTAATCACCGAAATCGTCGAAGCGAATCCTAATAAATTCGATACTGATATTGTATGCCAGCAAGATGGTGCTCCACCACACTACTACAGACAAGTTAGGAATTATTTAGATAACAATTTCCGCGGTCGTTGGATTGGCCGTCGAGGTCCTGTAGAAGGGCCAGCTCGCTCGCCAGATTTGACACCTTTAGACTTTTTTATGGGGCTGTTTGAAGCAAAAGGTGTACGAAACTGAACCTGCTTCAATATTGGATATACGGCTGAGAATAACAAATATTTGTAGAAATATCGATGTTACTATGTTTGAAAATGTTCGACGCGAAATTACGGACCGGCTGTTATTGTGTCAAGAAGTTCAAGGCAGCCATTTCCAGCATCTTCTAAACTGAACTCAACGTATTTATTCGAATTATCAAGTTAAATGTCAACGTATTCTGGTAATTATTAAATGTACCACCATTTTGTACTAGGTAAAGGTATTGACTTTATATTCTAGGGTTATAAAGTACCCGTCAGGAGCTTCAAAATGATGTGCCACAAGACCCCCGTTTTCATATACTTTTCGCATCAATTTCATTACTCGTTTTAATTTTTTGAATTGATCCGTTCTAAAAATCAAAGGGGAGGGGGACATTAAAGAAAAGCACTTTATGTTATATGGACACATTCTATCAGTACCCGGAAAAAAATTTTATCGTTTGTTTTCTTCGGCGGTAAATACGGAAAAGTTAAAGGTTCTTTTCCAATGTACGGATTTCAAATACGGATTTTCCAACACACGCACACGGTCGAAAAAGTAGTCTAAGCCGAATACTAATGATATCCGCATTTTAACTCAAATCACGCAATAAGTACAAAGAAATGTTTATTTGACAGAGCCAAACAAAAATCATCAAATCAGTCAACTTAGAGAGAGAAAAACTTTCCATGGAAAGCATACTTTATACGGGAACGGTTATCATCAAAACATTTGTTATATCTCAAATTCTAAAACTTACCTTTCCACCTAATACACCCAATACTACTAGCTACCATCCACAACCAGAACACTCTGTATACCATACGTAAGAGATTTATCCAAAAGACTTAGAAGTGTTTGCAAAAAAATTAATCTCAGAACTGTCTCTAGAACAACCAACACACAAAGATCCCTGTCTCACACTAAACCTACTATTGAATTATACAGGGTGACTTTTAAGTTGAGTCATTAATTTTCAGATAATGATTGTAGAAGGAAGATAAACCAAAATATGTGTGTAAAAATAAAAAAAAAATAAAAAAAAATAAAAAAAATAAAAAAAAAAAATTTACCTTGTTTTATAAAGTATCCTCCCGACAAGTATTTCAGTGCGGACCTGTATTTGATCGTGAGGTCCCCTGTGAGGTCTTAAGTCACCTGATTCACGAGCCCGTTGTACTACATTAACAAAGGCACGAGAGGTTGGTTGCACTCGATTGGAAAACCGATCCGCATAAACATGTGCCATTTTTTATTTCGTTTGAGCCACGCAACAGACACTATTCACACGCGTTACCGACTGACACTGACTGTATGTATAACTGAACTGAATAAAATAATTGTAAAAACATCGTTCCAAATTCTTTCGCTTTTTGTTTCCGATGCGATGAACCGATAAGGCGGATTATATCCGTTGTTGCCAAACACGAGCACATGATATTATTATTGAGACAGGGCGGTACTCAAACTTCCAAAGGGCTATAACTTTGTTACTTTAATTTTACCAGAAAAATGGTAAAGGAAAAAAACATTTCTTTTGATCAGATCTACTCACTGTTAAAATAAATGACTCAACTTCGAAGTCACCCTGTAGACACAAAAAACTCAATATATAAAATAGACTGCTTTTCAGATCCATAACAATGCTCATGCATCTTTTGTATACGAACATAAAAATGAACCGGCGTGTTGCGACAACAGTTTCGGGTAACCGTTTGCGATTTCGGAGGACTCTTGGCGTTTTCAGGACGATGGACAAGGGTGACAAGTTTGGTACATTAAAAAACCACAGATAACCTCATGCTCGCTTGTCGGCGTTCCTGGGCTTTGCTGGTTTTGTGCGGTACCATCTTAATATGGCAATCTCAGCATGTTAAGGGACCTATTATAGTAACACACCATATGGGAATGTGAAAAAAAAATCAAAAAACAAAGAACTGTCACCTGGAAGACAGATAAACAGGGTCCGATCCAGAAAATATTTTGGGGGGTGGGGGCTCAAGATTTATGTCTAGGAAGATGCTCGTCTTGGA